CTTTCTCGGGTTACACCTCCGGATCATGTTATCTACACATATTTTAAACAATAGAGGTTCGTCCTAATAAAAGGCTCGACAGTCGCGAAAGAACTTTTTCTTTTGAATTGAGGAGAGTTCATAAGGTACAATACCGCTTGCTAAATAGTTAGCAATATCAGCATACTAGGGCGTCTCCTCCATTATCACAGCAAGTAAATGTTCATCTGGGAATGTCTCTGTTATGTCTTAAACCTCCATTCTCTTTTCAGCTCTTTCCAATCTTGAGAGGTGGCCTGCCATTTGATTATCTGTCCCCTTTCTGTCACGAATTTCCAGATCGAATTCTTGTAGCAAAAGTACCCAGCGAATCAAGCATATCTTTGACTCCTTCTTTGCTATCAAGTACCTAATTGTTGCATGGTCAGTATAAATAATAACTTTTGAACCAATTAAGTACGACCTGAATTTGTCGAAGGCAAACACTACAGCTAGTATTTCCTTTTCCGTGATAGTGTAATTGAGCTGTGCACCGCTGAGCATCCTGCTTGCATAGTAAATCGAGTGCATCATCTTGTCTTTTCGCTGTCCCAAGACTGCTCCTATAGCATAATCACTGACGTCACATATGAGCTCGAATGGTTGCTCCCAGTTGGGTGCAACAATGATGGGTGCAGTTATCAGTCTCTTCTTCAGCTCCTCAAATGCCAACCTGCAATCATTAGAAAACATAAAGGGCTGATCCTTTTCAAGAAGTTTACATAAAGGGTTAGCAATTTTGGAAAAATCTTTTATGAATCGCCTGTAGAACCCGGCGTGCCCAAGGAAACTTCTCACTGCCTTGACCGAAGTGGGCGGTGGCAATTTCTCAATCACATCAACTTTCGCATGGTCGACCTCAATTCCCTTACTGGACACTTGATGCCCCAAAATTATTCCTTCTTGTACCATAAAATGGCATTTTTCCCAATTTAGCACCAAATTTGTCTCCACACATCTTTTGAGCACTCTTCTTAAATTGTGAAGACAATCTTCAAATGAATCCCCCACCACGGAGAAATCATCCATAAACACCTCCAGTATATCCTCCACCATGTCAGTGAAAATGGCTAACATGCACCGTTGGAATGTAGCCGGTGCATTGCAAAGTCCAAAGGGCATTCTCCGAAAGGCAAAGATGCCATATGGACAAGTGAAGGATGTTTTCTATCTGTCTTCCGGGGCTATTAAGATCTGGTTATACCCCGAATATCCATCCAAGAAACAGAAGTGGGACTGCCCAGCTAACCTGTCCAACATTTGGTCAATGAAAGGCAATGGGAAATGGTCCTTTCGAGTGGCTATATTAAGTTTTCGATAGTCCATGCAAATCCACCACCCCGTGACTGTACGAGTCGAGATCAACTCGTTATTCTCATTTTGTACGACCGTCATTCCTCCCTTTTTCGGCACACATTGGACAGGACTGACCCAGTGGCTGTTAGAGATGGGGAAGATGATACCCGCATCCAGCCACTTGATCACTTCCTTCTTTACTACTTCCTTCATATTTGGGTTCAAACGTCGTTGATGTTCCCTGGAAGGTTTGTGCCCCTCTTCCAGAAGAATCTTGTGCATGCAAAAGGCTGGACTGATACCCTTTATGTCTGCCATGGCCCAACCAGTGGCAGTCTTACATTCTTGCAATACCTTCAATAGTTGCTCTACCTGCACAGCTAGTAAACCAGATGATATAATAACAGGAAAAGTAGAATTAGGCCCCAAGAAAGCGTACCTGAGGTGGCTATATTCGTTGTATCAACAATGTGCACTTGTTTTATACCCATCTCATCAATTTTCTTTGTCAGTATGCTCATCTGAGTCATGAGAGTGGCTATGTTCTCTGCATGGGAATTGTTTGGGTCAAGAGCAACATAATGCACTATTGGTGTAAGTGTCGTACCTCTAGCCATCCATCCTGAATTTTGAGCCATCTTGTCAAGAAGAATCTTGCACTCTGTGAATGTCTTGCTCAAAAATGCACCCCCAGCTGAAGCGTCTACATTGGCCTTCAAACTATCTGCTAAACCCATGTAGAATCTCTGTCCCAATATCTGATCTGGAATGCCATGGTGTGGACACTTCACTAGCATACCCTTGAACCTCTCCCAAGTTTCTTGCAAGGACTTAGTTGGTTTTTGCCTGAACTGCAATATCTCATCAATCTGCCTTGCAGTCTTGTTAGGAGGATAAAACTTGTTTAAGAACTGTTTGACTAATTCTTCCCAAGTGGCAATGGAGTTTATTGGGAGTGAATTCAGCCAAGTTTGAGCCTCTCCAGTCACAGAGAATGAAAATAGTAATAGCTTGATGGCTTGAGGAGTCACATTCGGCTGTCTTTGGGTCACACATATTGATAGGAAGTTCTTCAGATATTGTTGTGGGTCTTCAATGTATGACCCGGAGAAAAGTCCCTTATTTTGCAATAGATGCAGCATGTTGTTGGTGATCTAGAATGTCTCCGCTTATATCTGAGGTACAGCAATGGCGGTGGCTAAGTTATCAGCAGTTGGTTGTGCCCAATCATATAGAGTAGCTTCTGGCACAAGAGGTGCCACCACTCCATTGTTTGGGTCAACTCGATTATTCCAATTGTTTTCGTTGACATCGTCCACGTTGTCCATTTCAATTTCGAGTGTGTGTTTTTGTTGTAACTGTTTGTTCTTCTTATTGGCTCGATTTAATGCCCTGAATGCTTTCCCGGGGTTTGGAAGTCCTTCAAAAAGTTCACCAGCCCTCGAAGAGCTTCTAGGCATACACCTGAGTCACATGAGAATTCAAACGTGAGAATTTCAATTAAAAAAAAAATTAAACACCGCAAGAAATTGATCCAAACTAAGAATCCTAGCAATTCTTCTAAGTTGTAATAAATAATACCGTTAGTTCCCCGGCAACGGCGCCAAAATTTGATCACGCCCAACTATGCCTTATAAGAAGGACTAAGCGGTCGTTGCAAATATAACCCGGTTCAAGTCCGGAGTCGAATCCCACAGGGAACTAACCTATTTACTACAACCTTAAATAATGCTAATGATAAGCTCAAACAACTTCCAAATGCAATAGTTTTATGAATAATCAGTGGAATTTATTTAGCCAAGGAAAAATGACAATAAAATTAGCAATAATCAAGACTAAAATTGAATTCAAGGGTAAAAGGATCTAGGGCTATTGATTTTCTCAATTGCCGGATTAATTCTCAACTCTTTAGCTATAATCTCGTTGTAATACTCTATGAGAATTATGAGTTCCGGGCTACCGTAATTACCTTTCGATCAATTACGATAATTTACTAAAAGCATTCTCTCGAACTACTCTAGTTAACAATTTATGCAACTCAGAATCATCCCACCAAAGTTTCGTTATTTCTAACCCCACTTTTAAATTCAAGTAATTAATGTCTTAACTTCCCCAAAAGTGGTGTTGTTCAACAACAATCTAACCAAGTGTTCTTTCTCAAGCAACACAAAGTGAATAGACACGATTAATCGAGGGCCCTTTTAATTAACCACAATACAATACGTAATTGAACAATCATAAAACAAACACGGCTCAATTATAATAAAATAGAGTCAAGACTTCATCCAACAATTGGTTCCATCAACCCTAGATAGCAGATTTAACTACTCATGCTAATGGAAAATAAATCACTAAAATAATTTATAATCAACAAATAGAAGTATCAAGAAGATGATGAAAACTCTTAGGAATTTATCCGTCTTCTCTCCCTCGTTCTTGCCTCTAAAATCTTCTAAAAACAACTATCCCCCACTTCTGGGCGAGTTTAGGTTTCATATAGGTTTAGGTTAGTCACCTAGGAAATTACATAATTAACCCTGCGTGTTTGGCTTTCGTCCGCCCGTCCGCGGCCGCGGATTCGACCGCGGATTTGGACTGCCTCACTGCCTTGATTTCGCGGACCAATTCGCGGCCCACTCCGCGGCCGCGCACCTGGAGGTGTCGTTTCGCTTGCTTTTCTCGCTCCTTTTCGATCGGACTAACCTTCGATTGCCCTTTCACATTCCATGTTGACTCCAAAACACTCGTTGGCTCCCTCCTAGCTCGGAGTAGCTCCTGCAAAGCATCAAATTCTTAATTAGAGCATTTTGTTATTTTTCAGCATTCAAATATCAATAAAGTGCGGTTAAATTAGAGTGTAAGTAGTGTCTAAATTGCATGACTATAGCCTACTATCACACCACTTCCACAAGAAGGAAGAAAAGGGGGAAAATAGAAAAATAAGATACTAGGGGCGAAAATTAATCACATTCTAGTGGTTTCAATTTCATAAATAACTGGAAATCTTGTCCAAGATTCTCGCATTTCTTCCTTCCCTTCCCCGTAGTCACTATAATTATTCGTTGATTGAATTGAAAGTTAAATTGTGATGCACCATTGAAGGTGGTACTACGATGTCTCTCGTGTGTATTGACGATTTTCTTAACTCAAAATTATAGAAGGTAGAATTTCGTTGTACCTAAAATTCACAGCATACACCATAGTTTGATCAAAGCAAACAAATTAACTGTTTTTACTTAACTAAATATTTAAAATCCACGACTGGTTTGACTAATTCGAATTTGTAATTAAAGAAAAAATACTTCTATCAAGAGCTTTTTTATTTTTCAAACTTATATTTGAGACCTCTAATTGCATAAATCAATTTGACGCATTCTGTGTCCCATCAATCTCTCTACCTTCGCGTTGTGTTGTGAGATTGTCAATACGATCCCCGAACTCCTAAGGGTTATCAATGGGACCCACAGCAAAAAGAAATAAGAAATAAAAATTACTAGAAGTTTTGGAAAAAGGAAACAGGCACTCCACAGTCCACCCTCCTCTTGGCCCTCTATATATAGATATAGACATCCTCAAAGTCCCAATGCATAAGAAACCAAAACCACTTTCTCACATTATAAATTATAGACTGATTTTGATCATCACTTCTTCTATCTAGCTAAATATAACATCTTCCATTTAAAATTATGGGTAATGCTGACTTTGATGATCAATATTCACATCAAAAGGTAGAAATCCCACCACCAAAGCCATTCTTGAAGACACTCAAATCTTGTGTGAAAGAAACATTATTTCCTGATGACCCCTTTAGGAAATTCAAGAAGCAGCCACTTACCAAGAAACTTACTTTGGGTTTGCAGTATTTTGTCCCCATCCTCGATTGGGCTCCTCGTTATACGTTTCAGCTTTTCAAAGCTGATTTTATTGCTGGAATCACCATTGCTAGTCTTGCTGTTCCTCAAGGGATAAGCTATGCTGGTTTGGCTAACTTGCCTCCAGTTATTGGACTTTGTAAGTAACTATTTATATATTCTAAAATATGAATTAATCCATCAAATATATATCTTTGAAAAATACTCTAAATCATGCATTTAGCTTTGGACATGAAACTAGCTAGTACATATATATATATATATATATATATATATATATATATATATATATATATACAAGGCTAGCCTCTTTCCAACAACTGAAGATACTACTCTAGTCTTTAAAATATAGTACTAGTATATGGATTTGACTTTTATGCACCTACAGTGTCAAGTCATTAAAAACTAGGCAGGTCTAGGTAAAAAAGATTTATACCATCAATCCATCATTATATTTTCTAAGTTAAACACTTAAAATATACACAATATAATAACTATAATTGTGATTATAACTGTATTACGTGTCTTGATTACAAAATGGTACGTACGTCGAGTCCATATATAGCTTGCACGTACATGGCACAAGAAAATTACTACTCCAGATTTGGTTAAAGTTTTAATTGTGCTTGATCTGATAAATATATTTTGGAAATGCAGATTCAAGCTTTGTGCCACCGATGGTATATGCGATGTTGGGAAGTTCGAAGCATTTGGCAATAGGGAATGTGGCGGTTCCATCACTTCTCATATCTGCAATGCTTGGCCGAGTGGTTAATCCTCACGATAATCCCAAGCTTTATCTTCAGTTGGTATTTACTGCTACTTTCTTTGCTGGAGTTTTCCAAGCGTCCTTAGGCTTGTTAAGGTCAGAAGCACTAAATATAAATTGTGTGTCGAGTCAAACTACGTCACATAAATTGAAACGAAGCATTTTTCTCTTCGATATAGGCTAGGATTCATAGTGGACTTTCTATCGCATGCAACAATATTAGGGTTCATGGGAGGAGCAGCCACAGTAGTGTGCTTACAGCAGCTGAAAGGAATTCTTGGACTTGTTCATTTCACCCATGAAACTGATATTGTCAGTGTCATGCGCTCCATCTTTAGCCAATTACACCAGGTTCCTTCACTATCTCATTTTATTTTTTAAATCTTTTTTGTCAAAATAATAAGTTATAGTTAGCCTCCAATATTTTACAGGTCTTTTCTTTTTCTTTCTAATTAACTCTAATATGTTTTTGTTGATTATTTGCTACAGTGGAGATGGGAAAGTGGAGTCCTAGGTTGTTGTTTTCTCTTCTTCCTCTTGCTGACCAGATATTTTGTAAGTAAATTAAATAATTTAAAATCTATACTCGCTTTCGGTAGATCAGTTACATATTCATAGTTTATAAAATATGTTACTATTGTGTTATATCCGTAAATATCATGATTCTATTCATTAAGCATGTGATACATTTATAGACTTCCTTCACTTTAAGATTAACTCAGACTCGTGTATAAAATATTTCTAATGATTCCTAGAATTTTTCTTCACCATATTTCAATTGCTAATAACCTCACTATTTCATACTATTATCTTCATTTCAAGTTCACTGTATTAATTTATTAATGGACTTGTTTATTTATTGTGTGGTGTAATTCCTATACCAGAGCAAAAAGAAGCCAGCTT